ATTTAGATTGCATTTAAATACTAAAGTTAATTAAAATTATTTTATTTCACTCACAAGAAGCTAGATAGCTTAGTGGTTTTAGGGCTTGGGCTTAGTGCTACTATGCTCTTGGGCTAGGTGATTTAGGTTCAAATCAATATTTCAAACCTTGTATAGCGCTAAAGAATTACTTCAAAATTCTACCGGTCCCACCTAAAATAAATATACTTATGTGGCTTATTTTCCTGGACAAGTTACCAATCAAAACAAGGCTAAAGGAACTTTCGACGTAACATATTGTCCAATCTGTGATGAAGAGGAAGAATCTCTATTCCATCTATTAATTCATCGCCCTTTAGCAAATCAGGTATGGAGGATTGTAGAACCTCAGTACTTGCATCCATTTTCATTGCATCGATTAATTCATTCCTAGAATAAATGAGAATGTTATTGACCAGTTAAAGAGTGTCATGACTTGCCAAAGTAACTTAGTAGGAGAAAGTTGCTAAAATCATTTGGAATTTGTGGTGGAAAATGCAGCTTTAGATTTTAGAGATTATCTGATGCTTCGGTTAATCAAGAGCGTGTTGTGGCCATAAGATGGGTGACAAGGGACTTACGGTAGGATCTTAAATGTTTCTTCAAAATTTATAGGTTCTAACACCATAAATTGCTTTGGAGATGCAACAAATGGAGTGATCCCCCCTCCAGTCATGGCTACGGGGTCGGTGCAAAACCATCTGACTGGGCTTCAAACAAGATGATCGGACCATTTGACCCGGGAACCGGTGGTCAAGACAGTTCCATTTTTGGGTTGGTTTTTAAGACCATACTTTCAACCACATCTTAAGAGAAGCTAATGTGCCAGCTGACTTCCTTGCGAAGCTGGGACAGGATGGCCAAGTGGACATGTTGAATGTGAGGATTTCTCATAGAAAAGATCAGTTTAGAAGATTTGTGGGATGCACTATCCCCAGATTCTGTTAGTGCTCTTCCTATGTTTTACTTTTACCAAAAAAAATGTCGTCCATACGTTTCTACTTTCTAGATGTTCACCCATTATCTTCTGTCTATGTGTCACCTCGCTGGATTTAACGGATGTTCATCTCTTTGCATATCTGCATGTTCTGTAGTTTCATTTATAATATCCATGCTTGTGCAAGATCTCTGCTCCCATTTTGAATACAAGATTATGTCTTGTATAGCCTTGGGTTTGTTAACCACTATTCTCCAACTCCACCTTGTATTCCACTCCACAAGGGCATTTAATCACATGAGAAATTCCCTGTAAGAAATTGAAGGCATCTGAATCTCTTAGCTATTGATATTTTCTATGGATTTAAATGGAAAAAACATCAACAAAATGGTACTGCAGTAGACATTTTTACAGTCATCTGATCAGGAATTTAGCACTGACAACCACTGTATTAAGCAAAATGCTTAAAAAATCTATTGCTGCCAGAAAGACATGATAGCAGAAGGGCTTTGACCAATCAAAACCTTCCTGTGAATTTGATAAAAAACCACCTGATTGGTTACCAATTTTATGATACCGGTTGATTTGGTTACAAGTTTTTCATGTATCATAGTCAAACCCTTTTGTATGAGGATCTTTTAGGCTGAAAAATAGGGTCGCAAATTCAATAATGAAGCTATTACGCATTCTCACCTTTATTTGTTCAATTCGGTGCTGCAGACACTGAAAATACTCTACTTCTGCAGCATTATCAGACAGCAAAGCCTTGTGCTCCTCTTCCAATGCCTTCATGTCCATTGTTATCAACGCCGGCTGGTGCCAACCATCCAAACAAAGCTATAATTAAATAAAATAAAATAGCATAAAGCAGTAAATTTTAGTATAATCCTTTTGAAAGAACACTGCCAGGATGCAAGGATGGATGGCAGGTTTTGCAAGGATTAGGCCCCATCTTCTGAATTATTTCACTGGATTGTAAGAAGAGTACAAGGCACAGAGAAGTAGGTCATCATACTAGAAGTATTGTGCCTATGTCTAACTTAGAACGTACTTGTTTTCCCCCATAAATGGTTGGAAGTGGCAGTGCGATTTGTGCTGTACATTTCTAAATTGTGCTTTCAGAGGAGTATCGTCTTACATTAATATTGATAATCTCAAAACTACAAGATAAAATATTAAAACAATCAGTGTGAACTGAAAGGTTAACTAACCGGAAAGCTAGCAGTCCTACATTTCAATTGCTCAATAGATTTCTTTATCTGTAACACAAGTA